ATTAGAATATTAAGGAATTTATGGATGATAATAACCTGCGCTAGCATTTCTTATCAGTTTGTGATAATAACCCCTGGGAATGAGGTGATCGTTACGAAGTTTTTTCTAATTTTTGTGTTGTTAATTGATAATTGTATAACACACATGATTGTAATCTGTTATTTTTTTTTTTAAAGTCACGCTGCGTTTCTCGCTGGTTCTTCTCAGGATAGAGGTTTTTTCCGAACCAGCGGTAATTAAACAAAAGAGTGACACAAGTATTATTTATAATCTATATTAAATAAAAAGTTTCTGTTTCTGTTAAAGCTAGTAGTAATGCATATAAGTGCGATAAAGACGTAAGACCCTGTCAAAGACTAGTGTCACATTATTACACTTCTATGGTACTTTTATTCTTCTGTGGTCTATACTCTCTGTCAAATCGCATGACGTACTAATTTTTATGCATTCCGCAGTTGGTTATTCTTCTTGTGTGAATGTGTGCTCTCCAGTGTATTATTGTAGCTTTTATTGTGCCCAGAAATACTTGAGCACCCAGAAACACTTTCAGCTGGAATAGGTCAGAAGGTTGTGGCGGGAGTGAAGTGCAGCCTAGCTCCTGCCATGGCCTGCGTGGTTATATTTTTTTAGCACCCAGAAATACTTGAACACACACAAATCCTTACAGTAATGATAGTACCCGCTCCCCTTTCCCCCTCCCCCCTGCCGGAGACGATAAAGGTTATCATTTTGTGGTTAGGTCTATAGGATTTTCTTTTTGATTTTTCTCAAGAACGGTGTGTTATGTTTTGATGGGATCTTGTCGGACGCTAGGGGACAGTCCTCCCTCCTCTGACCTTTGCCTCCTGCCAAACGATTCTAAATTTTAAAACGGTGCATTACATTTTAATACGAGTGGTATTATTATAATCAGGGGTCCAAACCTCTACCAAATAAAACACCTTACTCCTCTAATTTCCTGCCAAATTATTCTAAATTTTAACCATTTTATCTCCAACTTTAGGAGGAACTCGAGACCCCTATATGAATATGAAAAAACCAGAAATTTATATAACTACTAAAGCACTTTTCCACTACTAGATGACATACACAAATATTAAATATACAAAATCTCAACACTTTTACATATCAAAATCTAATTAAAACTATTTGATTATACACGACAAAACAAGGACAGGAATCCGCCGGCAGTCAAGTTACAGCTAAACTAAAAAAATGACATTTGTTTTCTTGGGTTGATTTTAGCGGGAACTTGACTGGCGGTGGATTGTTGCTCAGTGGATTTGATATGTAAAAGTGGTGCGATTTTGTGCATGAAGTATCTGCGCATGTGAACTGTTAGTGGAAACGGTGGAAAAAGTGCTCAGATGAGGAAGATAAGGTGTCTGTCAGTCTATATGCTTAGGCGCCTTGCGATACTATCGCCAACTGTATGCTGGCTTAAGTTGGCGTCGAAATCTCCCAAAAGCTACGCAATATGATGCAGCAACATATTATGAAGCAATGTACTACTTTTAAGGATTATTATCACTTGATACTGAAAATCTATAAAAACCATGATCCCGAATGAAATGATGACACGGCTTAAAAGATAAGCATCCATTAAAAATCTTAATAAAAAAATGTTTTCTTGTAGTATCAAACTTGCTACATACTAGCTTGCTACATATATATTTATCTATGGTATCAAACGTCAAAACGTCAATCACAGTTAATTGTACGGATGTGACATTGAGTGAAAAAAATCGATTACTAAAAATCGATTATTTGCTTCGTGATATTAATCGATTTAGGAAAAATCGATTTTTGTTACAAGAAATAATCGATTTTCACGAAAAAATTTCTTTTATTCGAAAAAATTCATGCTGTCCTATATATTAATACAACTACGAGATTAGTATAGTATTAACAATTTATCAGAATAAAAATGAAATAAAATGATAAGTATAAAAATAATCAGAACGACAATCTTCTGGTTTTAAAACTAAACTACAAAACAATTTTTTAACCTATAACTTTAAACAATAAAAAACTAAAAATATACGTAATTTAACAATTTATTAGAAATAAAATAAAAAGAAACGATAAGTTTAGTAAACGATAGTTTTTTGAAAGTAAGTTTGAACAAACAAAAAATCTAAATATCATTATTGCTACAAAATTTCAGTACCATTGACATTGGATTAGAATGAATATAAATAAAACTATAAGCTTAAATAATCAAACGACAACCTTTTGTTCTTAAAACTAATATACAAAATAATTTTTTTTTTAAACTTTAATTTTAAACAAAAAAAACTAAATAATTATTGCGACTAACGTTTAGTATCATTTACATTGGACTAGAATGAAAATAAAATAAAAATATAATTATAAATAATCAAACTACAACCTTTTGGTCTCAAAACTAAAATACAAGACAAATCTTTTTTTTAAACTTATACTTTTTAAAAAATCTTGCCTTGAATTTTCAGTTAAAGAGTTTAAAAACAATAATTTTACCAACATTCTTCGTCGTCTGTTTTGTAAAATACAGTTTCGTTTTTTCCTGACAATATTTCCCGCTTTCGAAAATAATCTTTCGGCTGGCGCGGAACTGGCTATCATAAAAAGATGTTTAAGAGCCAATTCGGTTAGTTTAGGGAAAGATCCTTCAGAGATTCTCCATATATTCAGAGCATCTGCCTTGAGATTAGATAATGGTGCCGCAATATATAGGTCCAATTCAGTATGTTTGCCAATTGACGTGTTGGCCGCTATTATTTTTTCATTATAAAATACTTCCGTTAGCCACTTTTAGGTGTTTAACAAGACATTTTTTTTGTTTAACAATTATTTACATTCTCCAAAGAAAGAAAGAAAACCACATAATACTTTTACTCCTAGCGGAGAAAGAAAACTGTTGAAAACATACGAAAAGCGAAACTGTTTTTCATACATAATACATACATAAGTGGCACCGTCTTTTGATCGACTTTTCATGTTAGTGAACTTACTTCGCGTTTTTTCATCTCTCGCAGAGATGACGATGTTTTTTTGATCGACTTATTCATGATATTGAACTTTACGTTTTTACATCCATCGCACAGATGACGCTGATTACAAATATCGATTAAAACGCGTAATTTACATAATCGCTTTATTAAAAATCGATTTTTATTATCAAAATATCGACTTATCAAAATTGATTATAAGAAAAAATAATCGATTAATATGAGAATCCGTTATTTTTTCACATCCCTAGTCAATTGTCAAATGTCAATTAAAAATTTGTTATAGTAGTCAGGCTGGTGCAACTTCCATAGTAAAAATTATATGTACTACAGGGGTCAAATTTTAATGACGGTTACTCTTTTTTATGCTTTTCGTGATATGTCTATTAACGACATTGTCAAATGAAATAGGTTCAAATGTCAAATCAAACAATTGTATTTGTATATATTTTATTAATTAAGATTGCTTTTAATTTTGCTATAGGAGCCGTTGTTCATTTACAGAATTGTTAAGAAATTTAATATGCATTATAAAACTTTCCAATTAAATGGTGCAAGAAGCGGAAAAAATGATAACAAGAAAAGGCTATTCGTAACAATATTTCCCTTAGATGATGAAAGGTATGTGGTGATTTCAACTTTAATAGTAATATGATATTCAACGCAAGTATATTTTTGGACTAGCCATCTATGTAGGACATGTTTTTATAGTTTACGATTGTGTGCATAAAAACAAACACACTATTTCCTAAATCTTAGAAACTACAAGTCAATTCTGACTGCTAACATTCTATTTGTTCAATAATAATGTGATTTTATTTATATTATTTTTTCAGATGCAAGCAATGGGTGAAATAGCTGGCACATGCGCCAATTGAAAAGATTCACATGTTAAGACATATTTGTGACAAACATTGCTTATGAACCGAACTAAAACGAACTGTTATTTCTTTAGTGGACTTACTTTAAACTTCCACAATTTATGTGTATGTTAATTAGGTTTCATTTACATGTAGCAAAAGATAATATCCCTCTAAAGTCACATTTTGGCAAGAATTAGATTAAATAACTAAATCATTATTTTATTCATCAATAAACATTAGTTATAATGAGCACTTATTTTGAAAGCGACAATTAGTAAACGATCTCTGCGAATAGTATGTACATAGGTGCCTCTGTAAAGAAACCTAGCGATTTGTACATAGTATTTGTTACACATAAAAGCAATTTAATCCAATCAGTATTAAAAACCCAATATTTTTACCCTTAAATAAACTAACGTTGAAAACAAGCATCCAGACGCAGACTATTTATTTTACAGCATAGCAAAAATTGTTCAGTGCGGGAAGAAAGCCTCGGTCCTGCAATGCCGCAGCCAAACGCTTAGCCACTGCGCTACGGAGTCGTCATTTATTTTTTACTTAATTAATTACTAGTATAAAAGTGCGTTTTTTATTTTAAATTTTCTTTATACATACTTTTGTACCTAATTGTAGAGATATAAATACAAATTGCTGTGTGTAAAATACATTGATTTCTTATCCTCATCGGCATTTTTACTCAATCCACACGTTTATTTCTCATAAAGAATTCAGTATAGAGATCTAACTTTTCTTATGTAAAAATATCGATAAACAATATATCGATAAAGGTTATATCGATGAAATATTCGAGAATAGACATTTACAGCACTATTGTAATTCGTCAATGTTGTCAACACTGTTTCTAAAAACTAAATGTCATATTTTGATGTTGGTCACTGTGATGTTGGTAGAGTAACTTGGCGTAATTTCATGCAATAATTTTTACTATCGAAGTCCCGCCTCTTAAACGTAGTGATTATATTCTCTTTGATAGTAGTTGCCAAACAGCCAAATGCAGCCAAACTAGAATTAAAAAAAATTAACTGTTTAAAGTAATTTTTTTTAAAACGTACAAATTAATAATCTTGTTCCTATAATTTTGTTTCATCAATAATTTTAATAAAAAGCATCAAATTTATTCATCATGGCCAACAATACCATTGGCCAAGGTGCTAACATGCCTTCTATTGGTAGCCTAAATCCACAGAGTGCTATCCAATACGTTAACAATCCCCTTCAGAGTCCGCAACTCCAGACGACTTCGATACAAAATTCCCCTTCACAACACAGCCCTATGGGAACACAACCTCAGGTTGGCGCAAAAGTGAATCAAGTTGGTGGAGGTGATCAAACTACACAAGTGAGCACTTGTCTTCTATAAATTATAATGTCATGCAAGTACCTAATCCGTTCTACACACAACTCGCCAGTTACATAGGCTTATCAAAAATTTTGGTAACGAAATGAAAAAACTATCACATGTCATTTATTACTATGTAGTGGCAGTGTATGAATGTCTACTACCCCGTGTTGTCCCATCAACAACCTGTATACCTAATATGTCTACTATGACAAATATCCACGTTATGAGTTGTTCTATGGGGAAAGCATTTGTTCAGCTGTGGACTTAGTATGTAATGACGGATTGAATATTAGAGCCACTAGAAACACATCCATTGACATTGCTAAGAAATTTGGTTTGTTATTAATAGGGCATAGCTTTGTCTAAAATAAGTACTGAAAAAAATTGCTTACACTAGAATATTGAAACTCCATATCTCCATTTTATTAAAAATTATGTAGGATATTATCCTACATAATTTTATTTTGATTACCCTCAGATGAATTTTAGAAAAACAATCTAAATTCTCAGTCATTCCATTCGAGCATTGAGATAGTCTTCTGTGTGATTTATAAGCGTAAATGGTGTCTTTTATGTTCAAAAGATTAGTTATTATTAACACTACACTCTTCTTTTGGAAGGATGGATTTGATTATTCTCATGTACTCTTCATATACAATGGGTAACTAGTAATATGTATATATTATTTGTAAAGGTTTAATTATGTTTGTTTACATCTCTATATGTAAAAATAAATAGCTGGCCATTAGTCTCGCTAAAACTCGAAAATAGCTGGAACGATTTTGATGATTTTTTTTTGTGTGCGTTTGAGTGGGTTTCTTGATAGTAGATTTATAATTGAACCCGACAGATGGTGCTGTTGTTGCAATTCAGAACTCACCTGTGCGAAGCAGGGGCGGTTCGCTAGTTATATAATAAAAGGGATATGTCATATGTTGGAAAGGTCAAATAGTTATCATTCAGTAACTTTTGTATTAAAAGTCATGTTATTTGATAAGCAAGACTTATTTCAAAATGAATTATTGGGACTTGATGGGAGTTTATAAAGCCAAGCATACATATTATACTGTAAGAAATTAGAATATAGACCATACAAGAAAAAGCCTTAATCTGATTTCTGATGTAAGAAATTATTCCACTTCTAATGTTAGAAATTATTCTCAAAATTATTTAAATAAAAGAATACTGTTCGGTAACAAACCCTGTTTACTATCACATTATATTGCCAAAATATGCAAACCAACAGCATCACTACCCATCTTAACCTGTTAACCGGACAAGACGTATAAATGCGTCAGGCGTAAACAATATCAGGTATGGGTAGGACATATGAGTACGTCCTCGAAAATTAATTTGCGCCTTGGAACGGATGGGACGTATATTTCCGATCGGTTATGATATTACGTCATCCATGCGTGTCTCGGCATGAATCGACATGCGCATGGAATCAGAACAATTTCGCTATTGTGAGTGATAGACGTGTTTTGTGTGACCAGTGACAGGTACGTATTTACACTTACCACCTATTTTATTTATCTATTTAATTAAATGCTTACAAATACATGCAATGCCTATAAAAATATTTCGATTATATATTATTTTTATTTCCAATTCTTTTATAAAATTTTTTTTAGTGTTCATCAAAATGAATGAGAGCGATATCAGTGATGATGAATTCAATGTACCGGCAAGTAAAAGAAGGAGATGTATTATGAGTTCATCATCGGAGTCATCTAATAATGATTTTTGTTAGAGTGTATAGACAAATTAGTTGATAACAATATTGTGAAAACCCACCCAAAGGTGATGCCTTTGGGTGGGTGTTCAAGCAGCTCTACACCTAAACCATCACGCATAGTGGAAAGGCATTTTCCAGAGCAAATGAAAAGTGATACAGGAAAAACTAAACCCGGAAATGTCGAGTGTGTTACAAAAAGGTGATAGAAAAGAATCTACTTTCTGGTGTCCAAATTGTAGTGTAGCATTATGTATTAATAATTGTTTTAAAATATATCACACAGAAAATGAGTTTTGAATTTTTATATGTACCTATTGTGTAATTCTATTTTGTTTACTTGTTTTTACTTGTTTTGTGATTCCTTTTGTACTTCAAAAATATTAATAAACTATATATATTTCATAGTTTTTCATTTATTGTATGTATAAATAAAAATATAGAAATATGAAAAATGACGGTCTCCGTGCATGACGTATTGACATGTCCTAGCGAAAGAATACGCGCCCGGTACATGTTGCATAATTTGAAGGGGAACTCCCCGGTTAACAGGTTAATGTAACTAACACAATCTTCCTTGCCTACACTAGTAGATTACTCCAACAGACATAGTAACAACAGTGAGACTCATAGAATTACTGACTGATCCCTTCTAAGTCCCCTGCACGATCTACCTTCATTTGTTTGTATTTCCTTTTATTTTTTACCCTCATTCCCTACAATACTTATACACAATACAATTTATGGTTGGGGTATTCTAGCCGAGAGTAAAAATTTTATTGAAGTATATAGGAGACTTCAGATCAAACAGTAGAAAATTTTGTGCATAATGCTGGAAAAGGTGGATCGGGAGTAACTTGAACAGAATATGAAATTTTGAAACCTTATTTGTGTAAATTAAATGCATACAAATAGATAGATTCTGGAGGTGCCCAAATTACTTTTGTAGCTTCCTAGAAATATCAGTCAAAATACACTCAATCTACAATTGCCAAATGTATTTATTATTGCTTGAGTAATTTTGGTAGTGCAGGCAGAAAATTTTATCTCAATAATTTGCAGCTACTGATTTATTACAGTTACTTAGTAGACCTCGCCTTCAAGAGCTAGTGCGAGAAGTAGATCCAACAGTACAGTTGGATGAAGAGGTAGAAGAAATGTTGCTGCAGCTTGCCGATGATTTTATAGATACAACATTGAATGCTGCATGTGCACTAGCAAAGCACAGACATGCACCTAGTGTGGAGCTTAAAGATGTACAACTACATTTAGGTAAGTAACTGAAATAATTTTATTCCATACATTTTGCAAACGTCACTGAGCTTACAAAAATCACTATGTGTTTTGGGTCTACTTTACAGGAAATGCAAAAAATTAGTTCATATTTATAGTTCATAGAATGTGTTGAAAGCATAATATGAATTTATTTTTTATGATAATATTACTAACATTTTATTTTATACATGGCTTGAATTTAACACAGGGTGATTTTTTACAGTGGTAAATATCTGTTATGTGCCTCAAGTGCATATAGCAATTTAGTAATGTCACACATTTTATAAAAATCATAATTGTTAACACCACATAGCTATTCAATAAAACAATTTTTTTTTTATAAAAGTTAATTTTAACCTATACTAATATAATAAAGCGGAAGAATTTATTTGTTTTTTTGTTTGTTTAAACGCGCTAATCTCTGGAACTACCAGTCCGATTTGAAAAATTCTTTTTGTATATTATAGCCAGATTCATGTGCAATAGTATATCGGCTATCTAGAATTAAGCTATATCACTCAGCAAGCCTTAAATATAGATATTTGTTAAGCAAGTCAGTAGAAAAAGCACTCCCGAAATGATTTATCTGCGTACGCTGGTGTTATCGTTAGGAATACGTAAATACAATGTTCTAGAAAAATATAGATCTTTACTCCGTCTAAAAAAAAGTCCGCGATACCATATGTCTATTTCTTATAAATAAGCCATAATTAGGTATTTTGTGACAAAAAAATATTGAAAATTTTAAAGTGATTCATGAGCGTTATTATTAGGCATGGCCTATTTATCCTTACGAACGAATGTTACTTCATCATCAAGACAATTTTATGACAATAAACTTTGTTCTTTATACCATGTTATTTGGACGCATAGTTTAAGAGATAATGTAAAATTAAAAAAATTCAATACTTGGCTGTGCGCGCGAACGACACATAAACCCTAGCCGCCCGGTGAGAACTGCGAGAACTGCTCAACCGGGAGGGGGAGTGAAAGTGGATAAAACTTAACTTCGCTCTACATAATATGCCGACAGATAAAAGTACTCCATTAATTATGCCAATTTTTCCATCTATTGCTATCAAATAAAATATTTAAATGCAATTATAAAATGCTTGAACTAGGTCATGTCGCGCACCTCCGACACGTGATGACGCGGGTGAAACCGCGGGGCACAGCTAGTCATATATAAATGTCCATATTATGATTTATTAACTTAACTGAAAAATATGAAACCTGAATTTTATTGTATTGATGAAACAAAATATAATAGGCAGATACTCTGTATAATAACTTAGTCTTACAGTAGGTATTGATATTTGGAGTTAATATAAGGAGCAACAATTCTAAATTAAGGTAAATAAAAAACTCACACACACATACTGTTCTGTACTTTGATAACGAGATTTAATCAATGGTTTAAATTATCATAAAATAGGTGGTAATCATGATGCAAGTAGGGTTTCATTGATGTACGATTTTTTTGCGTCCCATGTTGGCAACTAACAAAAATATCAAGAAATATCCTCCCGCGTTTCATCATTTATAATTTCATGACTTTTTAGCTGCTCAATGTAATCATGTATCCTTAATTTTTCTACTTATTTTGGTAACTTCTTCTAATATCAAACTCTCGTCAACATTAATGATCTTAACTGTATAATTATTTCCTAACAGTCTCAACTTTTTTTTATATTCTACTAAGCCAGCGCTTATCTACGATCCCACCTGATGGTAAGTGGTGATGTAGCCTAAGATGGTGAAGCGCACTGACTTAACAAAAGCCTATTCACTTTTGCCTTGAAGACACCCACACTGTAATCGGATGGAAAGACAGATGCTGGCAACTTCCACTCCCTTGCTGTATGCATGATGAACGACGTGGCGAACCGTTTGGTTCGAATGCGTGGTAAGTCAACAACGAAAGGGTGGAGACTGGCCGAACGTCTGGCTGTCCGATGGTGGAAGGTAGAGGGAGGAATTAAATTATGCAATTCTTGCGCCCATTCTCCGAAATGCATCCTGTAGAAAAACGAAAGGCTGGCTACTTTACGTCTGTGTTCGAGGCAGGTAAGATTGGTTTTACCCAAATTCGGGTCACCAATAAGCCTCTTAGCACGCCTTTCCATTGAGTCCAAAGCTGCTAGGTGGCATTTTGCAGCATCAGCCCATATATGGCAGCAATACTCCATGCACGACTGGACTTGCGCTTTATATAAAGTAAGCAGCTGTCCCGGCGTGAAGTATCGCCGCACCTTTGCAAGGACTCCCAGCTTCCTTGCAGCTGCTTTGGTCTTGGACTTAATGAACCGCCCGAAGTTCAAATTTGAGGATATCTCAAGCCCTAACAACTGAAGGCGGTCGGTATATTTCAGTGATACATTTCGGAAAGGCAAGGTGAGCTGGTTCCTTTTTGCAGTGAAAAGACACGCTTGTGTTTTGGAGGCGTTGAACTTCACAAGATTCGCATCGCCCCATTCGGAGACTGCCTGTAGTGTGAGATTGATATGCTCTACCATAGCTTCTCTTTCGGACTGGATTTGATCCCGACTGGCCCGAGGACTTGGTTGGTAACTCTCAACAACTGTGCTATCGTCTACATACCCATAGATACCGGGTATAAGCAGATCATTAATATGCAGCAGGAAGAGAGTTGCGGAGAGAACGGACCCCTGAGGAACACCGGCGTTAGTCGCCATAGGATCGGATGAGCAGCCATCGACGACGAACAGGAGAGACCGTTCACTCAGAAAGTCCTTTACCCATTCAATCAGACCAGGGGATAAGCCGTACGCTGGAAGCTTACCCAAAAGGCTAGTGTTCCAAACTCTGTCAAAGACCTTCGAGACATCAAGGGAAACAGCAAGTGCTTCCCCACTGTTCTCGAGTGCCTCGCCCCATACGTGTGTGGCATACGCAAGAAGGTCCCCAGCTGACCGATTTCGGCGAAACACATATTGCCGGTCACTAAGGAGGTCATTCTGTTCTAGGTATGCCATTAAGCGGGCATTCAATATACGCTCCATAATCTTACAGAGTATGGAGGTAATTGAGATTAGCCGATAATTGGCAGGGTCGGCACGGCTGCCTTTTTCGGAACAGGCTGCACGTTTGCCAGCTTCTAGGATTTGGCACTATTCCAGTCCTAAATGAGAGGCGGAACAAGCGTGTCAACACAGGAGACAATTCAGGTGCACAAGCCTTTAGAACTATAGCTGGTATACCATCTGGTCCACTAGATTTATTCACGTCTAGACACCACAAGGTTTTAAGAACCTCCTTATTTGTTATACGAATCTCCGACATAGAGGTTCCGCAGTGAGGTAATTTTAATGGAACGTTGTTGCCACTGTCCAGACGTATGCGCCAGTGTACCATCCGGTTTTACCAGCGGAGGCAGTGTAGGCCGACAGAAGTTTGTCTCGACCGCTTTGGCGAGAGACCAAAAAGCTTTAGTGCCGGATGGTCTGGCAGAGAGACTTGTGGCAATATGTTTAATGCGATCGAGACTAGCTTTCCGTATTGCTTTTTTGTAGGACTTGGTGGTCTGGTTGAAACTTCTGTTCTTGGAGCTAATATCCGGAGCTTTGCGGTCAATTTCTGATTTTTCTTTACTTTTTTGGTCTCACTTATACCAAACTCGTCTTCCTCGTAGATATTATTGGAAATATATTCCATTTCAAGAACTACAGGCTCAAAGTGATCAGTTTGCTTGTTTAATTGTAGCATCATTTAATTGTAGTGCCTGAGGTGAATTTCTTGAGGGACAAAAGAGGTCTTTCTAAGCAAGGGTGAGAATCAATACTAGCAGCTGTTGTAAAAGTTAATGTTTGACTTGTTGCCGTGATAAATGTAGTGTATAAATGTGTTCCTCGCCAGTTGGGGTGTAATGTTCCTCGTAATTTCGACAATCGTACCCATGGTGATTTTTGTCTGATGATATTCATTGTGTGTAGCTGTAGCTGAAGGAAATAAAGAAAAAGATTCTTCGTCACGCTCTCTAACAAATCGACTTATCGAGAGCTGTTAATTTTCCGTGCAAAATGTTACGAGTAGTTTGCTTCTCCAAAATCTCGACATAACTAATGATAGCAAAAGGGTAGCAAAATATAATGTGTCAGTGAAATCATTGACTGACATACCAAGTTAGTTGTAGTATCTATAGATAAAAAAGCAGTCGATATACTTACAGTTTTACAGCAAATCAAGAAAGTAAGATTTTAAAACAAGATATTGATTATAATCTTAAAATAGCTGTATAAAAAATTCTAAATTTAACTTTAAGTACTGGTAAATACTAATAAATTAGCAGCCTGCACTCTAAAAAAATTTGTTGGTATTGGTGTAAGAAATCTTTCTAGCATTGCATTGCCTGATTTCCTTGCTTTCGTGCATGGTGTCAGTTACTTATGTTACATAATTTTAAATAATAAAGTTTTCCTATGATTTGCTGTGATGGCTAACTCTCTGTCCCGGCGAAAATGTTCCACCGGAAGTTAACCAACAAAATCAGTGGGATATTCCGTTAATACGGAGTGTGCAGAATAATTTGTTTCATAATTTCCATTGTGATCAAGATCATGCCTGCCTTCTATCACTTTCTACTAAGAAATCTAGTCACCGGTTACAAGTTTTACCATTAAGTAATCTCGGCACGTTACTTAATAAGGAAAGCTTGCGCATCACCGTAGAATTCCGACTAGGAAAGTGGTAGAGCCATGCTGCAGCTATATTAGTAGTATAGCTGTAGCAGGAATGGGTCGGCTCGACCGGGGTAGGACCACGTTCTCACAGAATACCAGCGTAAAATAACAGCTTAACACTCCTGTGTTTCGTATGGTGAGTGTAGAGTACCGGAGACCCTTTTTACTGGAAAAGAGGCATTCCATCTTAGTCCTCATGGGTAACAACGCATCTGTATTTTGATTCACAAACGAGGATAGATGTAGATGTCTATGGGCCGCAGCAACCACTTACCATCAGGTGGACTGTGTGCTCGTTTGTCACCCTATCCTATAAAAAAACAAATAGGTGCGGTGATTTGTCAACCTCATTAGTGCTCCTGTGGTAGCAGCGTCCACAAGTTTGGACTCCACGGACCTTCATGTAAGAAAAGTGCTAGTAGGTTTTCACGGCACGGTTCTTTGAACGAACAAAAACAACTCCGTTGAAAATATTATAAGCTATGTGACGCTCAAACTATGCGTTGCATAATGGTACAGGACAAAACTGGTCTAAAAATGTCGCTATGTGATGTTAAACAGGCGTAATTGATGAGTATAATATATAGTATTTTTTATAGCTATGTGATTTGTGACACGTGGCAGTTTTAAAGGAACATTTAACAACACAGTGGCGAATGTGTTGGCAGAGTTATTGGCCAAGAAATTGTGATCGCGTCCACACGTTGGAAGGTCCTTCAGTTTGCTTCGGTTCAGGCCAATGTGCGGACGAATTTATTAAAATGATTATTGATGCGCTAACGGCTGCTGCGGTTTATTTATTCACAGCATACCACTATTTTTTTTTATTTAATTTTCACTATTTTTTATATTTAATATAAATTTTTAATATTTCTTTATTATACACTAACGTTATACAGATAAGTGAACTATATAAACATTAACACACCTAGGCATAGATATAATTAACACTTTTACAACTAAGGCCTGGAAAATATTCGAAGCCTGTCTATGAAACTGTTGTCAAATTTTATTAAACAAAACCTTTTTAAAAAGGGTTATTCTTATTATATAATTATAGAATAAAACTTAATAACAATAATAAATTATTTATTTCGTCAAACATTAAAGTTACATTATATGATCAGTGATCGAGGTCACCTAGTAAGCAAAATAATGCCTGTAACAGGTGACTTCGCTTTTCCATAACTAAAAATTACAGTATTATTAACGAAATAAAGTAACTAATGGGGAATAATAAAGACAGTAAAAACGTGATTTTAGTATCCTACTTTTTAATTTGATTTTAATATATATTATATATTATAGATTTTAAGATATTTAATAAATCAATTAATACATCAATAAATAAATTAATACACAATTAATCACTACAACGTGAATGTGTATAAGATAAGGGTGATCAAAAAGAAATGGAAAAAAGAAATTTTATATCTTGACGGCTCCGTGGCGTAGTGGCTTAGCAATGAGTTGCTGCCCTGGGGGCCGTGGGTTCGAATCCCGCACGGAACAAGTATTTGTATAGCCTGCACATAATTTCTCCGGGTCTGGATGTTTGTCCTTATGCAATTTATGTTTCTAAACTGCCTCCACGATATAGGATACCCTTTTTACTGGAAAAGAGGCATTCCATCTTAGTCCTCACGGGAGCTTATGCTGTAAAAAAATTAGAGGTCTCAATAGTGTTGAGACAGCTAGAGTAGTTTATTTCAGTTATTTCCATATGCATAATGTTTTATGGAATTTTGCTATGGGGAAATGCGGCTGATTTAGAAACTATTTCTGTTTTACAGAAAAGAGCCATTAAAGCTATTTACAACATGAAACCGAGTCTTAAAGAAATAAATATATTAACTTTGGCCTCTCAGTATATTTACGAAAATGTAATGTATGTTCACAAAAACCAAGGTAGTTTTAGCAAAAAAAGTCATAATATGCACTGTGTACTTAGTAGACTTGGGCAAAAAATATCGATATATATCGTCGATATTTTAAATCGTGTTACATCGATATTTATTTTAGAGTATCGAATTCGTATCAATTTCGATATATTTTAAAATTTTGTATTTAATGATAAAACATGTAACAACAAAAGAAGGTACAAAAGTATTCATGTGGTTGTCGATTTTTTTCGTCGTCCAACCGTCAGTAATATAAAAATTTTAAACCTTATTTTTACATCATGCATATGTTGACAATATATCGATATTTATCACGCGATATATATCGATACTGTTTAAAAATGTCGATTCAATATATATCGATATAGTTTTTCCCTTGCCCATCCCTAACACTGTAAACACTAAAAACAAACAAGCTAGGGATACCTGTATTTCGACTCCACATAGTCAGTAATTCATTATTGGGGCAATGTATATGCTAATACAACAAAGTCCCAGAAATATTTAAATATTTTATTAAACAAAAACTTTATAAAAAGGGTTATTATAATATACATGAATACGTGGTTGATAAATGAATTACACATGGGATCTATATTGAATTAAAAATTATTCTATTCTAATTTAACATCAAATTTTGACCGATTAGCAAACATACAATTGTTTTCTTTTTTCACAGAACGACAATGGAACATGTGGATACCTGGTTTCGGGAATGACGAATTGCGTCCATACAAACGCGCCGCTGTCACAGAGGCACACAAACAACGTATGGCTCTTATTAGGAAGACAAGCAAAAAGTATTAGTTAAGTTTGTAAAACTGAAAATTAAATCATATGGACAAAGAGTGTACAAATGTATGGGATACCAAATAAACAAATTGTTTACGATATAACCCCTTTTGTATCTAGTGTAGTAACCTGTAACATTAGTATCCTAGTGTCCTTGGCACAGACTAACTAGCAGATATTACCCGAATCAGACGGACATCTGACGAACTAAACTTACTCGCATTGCGACTTCTTATCTTCTTATCTTCTGCATCCTGATTGGTTGTAGCAAATTTTTTTTTTTTATAGGATAAGAGTGACAAACGAGCACACAGTCCACCTGATGGTAAGTGGTTGCTGCGGCCCATAGACATCTACATCTATCCTCTGTTACAAATCAAAATGTAGATGCGTTGTCACCCGTGAGGACTAAGATGTAATGGCTCTTTTCCAGTAAAAAGGGCCTCCGGCCACCTGCACTCACCAAGCGAAACGCAGAGGTAAACCTCTACTTCACGCTGGTTTTCTATGAGGTCGTGGTACCACCCCGGTTCGAGCCGGCCCATCCGTGCGACAGTAAAAGCTGCCGCGTGGCTCTACCACTGTTGTTAAAAATGTTATATGAATTTAATTTTTTTTTTATTTGAAGCAGCTATACCAGGCAAAGGACGTCCCAAATAATAGCCACTTGCAAAATTAATTTTATTATATAGAAAATAAAACTAGATAAATACAAATGAAACAATGTTGAAATTTAATATTTTTTTATTAATTATTAATTTTTACTTTGCTTTAATTTTGTTTAACTTAAAGTAAAAGTTAATAGTTTTTAATAATGTATATACTAATTAACTTATTAATATATACGAGTACATTATTAAAAACTATAAAAAAACTAAAACTAATAATTTAATTATCATACAGTCCTCATTTTAACATGTGCTGTCGTCTGCATAGGAATGAATGTCACTAGTTTGCAACATATCATTGATATGCAGGAGAAACAGCGTTGGTGATAGCACGCAGCCTTGTGGAACACCAGCGTTGAAAGGCTTGAAATCAGAGCATCCACCGTCTACTACGACCTTAATGCTCCGATCAGCAAGGAAACTGGTGCTCCATTTGCACAATTTCTCGGGAAGCCCATAGGAAGGAAGCTTCGAAAGAAGCGCTTTGTGCCAGACCCGATCGAAGGCCTTCGCTATGTCCAAACTAACGGCCAATCCCTCCCCCTAGGACTCTACTGCCTCCGCCCATCTATGAGTCAGGTAGACCAGAAGATCACCAGCTGATCGACCCCGATGCAAACCGTACTGGCGGTCACTAATCAGCTGGTGATCTTCAAGGAACCTCATGAGCTGGCAGTTTATAATGGATTCCATTATTTTGGAGAACAAGAAGGTGATGGCGATGGGCCTGTAGTTGGACGGGTCTGAGCGGTCGCCTTTTTTAGGGATCGGGTGGACAAAAGCTGTCTTCCATGAATTCGGGACTACGCCTTGGGAGTAGGAGTACCAAAAAAGACGCCTTAAAACCGGTGCCGACTCCGGAGCACACGTCTTCAGCACAATGGGAGGGACTCCATCAGGCCCACTCGACTTTCTGACGTCCAGGGAGAAGAGTGCTTTACGAAACGAGCGCTGTGTAAATCGCACATCCGGCATGGATCACTCAAACCGCGGGATGGTCGGCGATGTGTTTCCCCGTCATCTAGAGACGAGTTGGACGCTAATAGAGAGATTAAAAGATCGGCTTTTTCCTTTGCGGCATGGGCCAGTGAGCCGTCCTCTCTGTGTCTCTCTGTGACAGTTGTTTACAAATTTAGAATTAATGGATAAGTATCAATATAATATTCACCAATTTCACCACTTTCGTTACTCACTTCCCTTTCATGTCCTCGAAACAGGCTCTTTATTTTTAATAATTGTGCACTAACATCATCTTCACAATTAAAAGATGAGTAGTAAAATTATAAAAAGATATAAAAGCATTTATGAAATAGTGACTAGTCGGGTTAAGGTCCCTAAAATTGTATTATCTTATTTGACCGAAAATGTTTTCAATTGCATCCGAATTTACATAGCTGGGTCTCATCATTTTTATGTTTTTCTTGGACAAAAACTGCCACAATTTCATAAAACTTTTTATGGTACTCATTCAGTTCTTTATACGGGCACTGTACATTCATGACCATTTTTATTAACAAACTAGCTGTGCCCGCGGCGTAGCTCGCGTATATAGATTTTACATAAAGAATTTGTCGTTTAGGTAAGAGAATATTAAGCGATTTATATCATTACTGTATCAATAAGTGGTAACAAATAAATCATTATCATCAAAGTTCTAAGTAGTTTATGATAGAGCTTCGGTGTAAACGACGTTAGAAGTAGGCTTAGCCGGGGTGTACACAAAAAGGTTACGGGGGCTACTAACGCGGGAAAAAGCAACATAGAGTTGGCCATGTGCAAAACAGTCAGTACTGAGGTCCACTCTTACAAAGCGTAAATTTTGACCTTGCACTTTATTTACGGTCATCGCATAACACACGCTGACTGTAACTGGGAACTGAACGCGCTTAAAACTGAAGGGAAAGTTACTTCTTAATAGAGGGTTTTTTGGCAGTGCTGCCAGATCAAAAAAACTCATTCAGCGCTAGGACAACACAAAAAGCGCTAGATTTCATGAACACAGCGCTTTAAAAAAGCCCTAGATTTCGCGCTAAATTAACTACAAACAAAGTTTGTGTTTTTTATTATAATTTATAATTCAAGAAAATATAATCATAATAAAGAAAACAACATTAAGTTTTTTTCTGGCAATATTTTTTGATGTATCAATACTTCGCAGGACATCGACTTATAATTATGGCAATTGCTGTCAACAGTAGTTAGTACTACTCTAAGTAACTTTTAACTTAGCTGTGCTCTAAACAACTGACTAAAACTGAATAAAGCAAAATAAATGCGTTGCCAAAACCATGAACGAAAACTTTAATGAAGGGGATTTCCCCGCTTATAGTCGTCGATAAAAAAAATCAAGTTGATCATCCTAAACGGGAAGCCGGGAGATCCATAGCACAGGGTATCCTAGTTTGGACTCGTCTCCCATGCTCTTTGTTTTGTGGAAAAGATATGTTTGAAAAAGATAAACTGCAATGTACTATTTGTGGAAAAAAATAATAAAGGTCATTATTATTATTATCGGTAATGTGGACTAACAGTGCTGCTATAAAAGAGTTAATAACCCGCTAGTCGCTACAATTTTGAAATTTGTGCTAAAAATTTCGAAATGCGCGCTATACATTCCAAAAAAGCGCTAAATCTAGTTCTCAAAGCGCTATAATGGCAGTACTGATTTTGCGTATATTATAAATACAATATCACGACATTTCGTTGCAATTTTGTTATTTTTGTTCGGGTTCCGTTGTATGGCTTCGATAGATACTAATTTCTTCAGTAAGTCTCAATACGATTCATCGGCGAAAAATCTCAACACAGCAAATCAGAAAAGTTTGTAATTTGTATAACTCCATCTATTACGTCCTTTGTGTGAGAAAACATCCTTTTTTAAATCTCTTTTTATGTTTTAAGTATAAATATATTAATTATTATGGAACGTTTTTTTACACACAAATCTTTTTATTACTATTTCTGTGATTTTTATGGCGCCATTGAACAAATTCGAACGTACATTTTAAAATAATAATCATTACTTTCGATAGAATTAACCAATTTTAATAAAACAAAGATTAAATGTAACTTGAAGATACGCTTTATGATTTTCTTAACGATTTCTTTGAAAAAAAAAGATGTTTACTTTAGACGTGATGCATTTATATAAAAACAGACAAACAGACAGACAGACAATTCTAAAAATTATAAAAATGTACTTATTTAATTATTTTTAGTTCCCCATAATGATTTTAGTCACCAAAATAAATATACAATGTACAGAAAGAGACACAACATGTTATCATCATTTTTATTATATGTATATATTTAATTGAAGAGAGATGGCGCTGCTAACATCAATTTGATGACTCAAACAAAGCCACCGTTGAACAAATTCCCTACCCATACTTCAGAATATTAATCATAACTTTTGATGGAATGAACCGATTTTAATGAAATAAAGACTAAATGTAACCCGAAGATACACTTTATAATTTCCTTAACAATTCTTATGATATAAATTAGTACTTTAAACGTGATACGTTAACAAACAAACAGACAGACAGACAGACAGACAGACAGACAGAAAATTCTAAAAATGGTAGAAATGTATTTAATTACTTATTTTTAGTACCCCTCAATCACTTTTATTACAAAAATATAAAATGTACAGACATCTGCTATTTACAGTTTTATTATATGTATAGATTTTAAATTTTGTAGTTTCAACAAAGCTTGCTGCCAGAATGGCATAACTCTTAAATCTTTTTTTTATAGGAGAGGGAGGCCAACGAGCATGCGGCTCACCTGATGGTGACTACCGCCGCCCATAAACAACTGCAACACCAGGGGAACCAGGGGAATTGCAGATGCGTTGCCGGCCTTTTAAAAAGAAGTAGACTCTTTTTTTGAAGGTCCCTAAGTCGTATCGGTCCGGAAAAATCGCTACTGGTAAACTATTCCTCGAGGAAGTTGTGCGAGGAAGAAAACATCTTCTAAATGGCACAGTGGTTGACCGCCAATCATCCAGATGGTGTGGATGATATCGGGAGTTCTGCCGCGATGTGCGTTCATGAAATTTGGCGGCTGGGATTAATCCGAACAATCCCTCAGAGCACTCCCGTGGTAAATGCGAAAGAAAATGCAAAGAGATGTAACATCTCTTCGCAACGCCAATGAATCGAGCCTATCGGAAAGGACTCGATCGTCGACGATTCGAGCCGCTCTGCGCTGAATGCGGTCAAGTGGAAGGAGCTGGCAGTGGTGTGTCCCGGCCTAGAGATGAGAACAGTATTCCATGTGAGGCCGGATTTGTGCTTTGTAAAGTTGCAAGCGATGTGCCAGCATGAAATACTGTCTCGCTCT